AAAATAACTCAAGAAAAATAAAGAAAGTAAAAAAAGTGTGCTTCAATCTGTATTCAAACACCATTGGGTTTTTTTCTGGGGATGGATAGCATTTTTCTTAAGTCCTTCAGAGTTGTCTTGGATCATTGTGTTGCTGAAAATAGCTAAGTCATTCACAGCTGATCATCTTACAATATTGCTGTTACTTTGTACACAATACGTGTTACTTTGCATTAGCTTATGTAAGTCTTTCCAGGTTTTTCTAGGAGCATCCTGCTCATCATTTTTTATAGCACAATAACATTCCATCACAATCATATGCCACAATTTGTTCAGCTATTCCCTAATTAATGGGCATCCTCTCAATTTCCAATTCTTTGCCCCCAGAGAAGAGCTGCAATAAATATTTTTCTACATATAGGTCTTTTTTGTTTTTGTTTTTGTTTTTTTTTCTCTTTTGGGATACAGACCTAATAGTGGTATTATTAGGTCAAAGGGTTTACATGGTTTTATAGATCTTTGGGCATGGTTCCAAAATGCTCTCCAGGATGGTTGAATCAGGTCACAACTCCACCAACAACACATTAATATCTCAATTTTCTCACATTCCTTCCAACATTTGTCATTTTCCCTTTCTGTCCTATTAGCCAATCTGATAGGTGTGAGGTGGTAGTTCAGAATTATTTTAATTTGCATTTTTCTAATCAATAGTGATTTAGAGTATATATTTTTTCCAATATGACTATAGATAGCTTTGATTACTTCATCTGAAAGCTCATATCTTTTGATCATTCCTCAATTGGGAATGGCTCTTAATTTTTATAAATTTGACTCAGCTCCCTATGTTTGAGAAATGAGGATTTTATTAGAGAAACTTGCTTCAAATTTTTTCTCAGTTACAATTGCTATGCTTCCCTCCATCCTTTTTCTCCTGTTTATTCTATTGTCTCTCTCCTTTCACCCTGTCCCTCCTCAAGTGTTTTGCTTCTCACTACCACCTCCTGCAATATACCCTCCCTGCTATCACTCCTCCCCTCCTCTTATCCCCTTCCCCTCCTACTTTCCTGTAGGGTAAGACAGGTTTCTATACCTAAATGAGCATGTATGTTATTTCCTCTTTGAGTCAATTCCAATGAGAGTAAGGTTCATCAACTTCTTCTCACCTCCTCCATCTCCCCATCTACAGTAATTTTGTGTTTTTAGATATCATCCCTTCACATTCAACTCACACCTGTGCCTTCTGTCTACATACACTCCTAACAGCCCTAATAATGAGAAAATTCTTATGAGTTACAAGTATCATCTTCCCATGTAGGAATGAATATAAACAGTTTAACCTTACTGAGTCCCTTATGGTTTCTCTTTCCTGTTTCCCTTTTTATATTTCTCGAGTCTTGCGTTTGAAAGTCAAAATTTCTATTCAGTTCTTTTCATCAAGAATGCTTGAAAAACCTCTATTTTCATTGAATGTCAATTTTTTTCCCTGCAAGGGCTATACTGTTTTGCTGGGTAGGTGATTTTTGGTTGTAATTCTAGATCTTTTGCCCTCCAGAATATCATATTCAAAGCTCTCCAATCCTTTCATGTAAATGCTGCAAATCTTGTGTAATCCTGACTGTGGCTCCATGATACTTATGCTTGCAATATTTTCTCCTTGACCTGGGAGCTCTGGGATTTGGCTATAATATTCCTGGGAGTTTTCATTTTGGGATCTCCTTCAGGAGGTGATAGGTGGATTCTTTCAATTTCTATTTTACCCACTGGTTCTAGAATATCAAAAGTTTTCCTTGATAATTTCTTGAAAGATGATGTCTAGGCTCTTTTTTTGATCATGGCTTTCAGGCAGTTCAATAATTTTTAAATTATCTCTTCTTGATCTAGATCTATTTTCCAGGTCAGTTATTTTTCCAATGAGATATTTCACATTTTCTTTTATTTTTTCATTCTTTTGGTTTTTATTGTTTCTTGATTTCTCATAAAATCATTAGCTTCCATTTGCTCACTTCTAGTTTTTAAGGAATTGTTTTCTTTAATCAACTTTTGTAACTCCTTTTCCATTTGACCAATTCTATGTTTAAGGAGTTTTTTTCCTTCAGTGAATTTTCATGCCTCTTTTTCTGTTTGGCCAGTTCTGCTTTTCAATGCATTCTTCTCCTCATTGGTTTTTTGTACCTCTTTTACCATTTGGCCTAGTCTGTTTACCAAGCTGTTGACTTGTTTTCCATGATTTTGCATTACTCTTATTTCCTAATTTTTCCTCTGCTTCTTTTACTTGATTTTCAAAATCCTTTTTGAGCCCTTCCATGGCCTGAGACCAATTCTTGGTTTGTTTGTTTGTTTGTTTATTTTTAGGCTTTGGAAGTAGGAGTTTTAACTTTGACTTCTTCTGAGTGTGTTTTGATCTTCCTTGTCACCACAATAACTTTCTACGGTCAGAATTTTTTTCCAGTTTCCTCTCATTTTTCCAATCTATTTCTTGACTTTTAACTCTTTGCTAAAGTGAGGCTCTGCCTCCAGGGCAGAGGGCACACTGTCTCAAACTTCAGGGGTTTTGTGCAGCTATTTTCAAAGATACTTCTAGGGACCTATAAGTTTTCAGTTCTTCAAGGTAGTATGATCTAAGTAAAGGTGTTTACTACTCTCCTGGTCTATGCTCTGGTCTGTGAGCAACCACAAGCACTCTTTTTCTTTCCTAGAACTGTGATGAGGGTCCCTTGCTCCACTGCAGCACACAATCTATGGTGTGCTAGTGCTCCTCCTTGCCCTGGGACTGCTACCTGGGAGTGCAACCGAGATCTGAGTATGGACAAAGCAACAGAGTACTGCCCCCCGCCCAGCAGAGACCCCTGTAATCTCCTTTTGATCAGTTGTTCAACCCTCTTACCATCTGTGGGCTGAGAGTTCCAGAAGCAGCTGCTGCCACTGCAGATTCAATGGCTCCCAAAGTCCTGTTCTTGGCTTGCTAGGGCCTGATCTGCACTGGACTGTGCTCCACTTTCGCCCCAGTATGACAGACCTTTTCTGCTGACCTTCTAAGCTGTCTTTGGCTGGAAAATTATTTCACCCTGTCCTTTTGTGGGTTCTGCAGCTCCAGGAATTGTTCTATGGCATTATTTAAAGGTGTTCAGAGGGGTTTTAGGGAGAGGTCAGGAGAGTCATTGCTTTTTCCCTACCACCTTGGCTCCACTTTGATAATTTTTTGAAAGATGATGTCTAGGCCCTTTTTTGATCATAGCTTTCTGGCAGTCCAATAATTCTTAAATCATCTCTTCTTGATCTAGTCTCCAAATCATTTATTTTTCAAATGAAACAGTTCACACTTTTTACATTTTTTTCAATCTTTCCACATTGTTTTATTGTTTCTTGATGTCTCATGGAGTCATTGGCTTCAACATGCCTAATTCTCATTTGTAAGGAATTCTTTTCTTTTTTTAAATTTTATTAATTTATTTTTAGTTTTCAATAATCACTTCCATAAGCTTTTGAGTTTTAAATTTTTCTCCCCCTCCCTCCCTCCCAAGATGGTGTGCAATCTGATATAGGCTCTACATATACAAGGAATTATTTTCTTCAGTTAGCTTTTGTATTTCCTTTTCTATTTGGCCAATTCTACTTTTTAAGGAGTTCTTTTCTTCACTGAATTTTTGTACATCTTTTCCATTTGGCCAATTCTACTTTTTTTTTTTTTTTTTTGGCGTAGGCCATCGGGGTTAAGTGATTTGCCCAAGGTCACACAGCTAGTAAGTGTCAAGTGTCTGAGGCCAGATTTGAACTCAGGTCCTCCTGACTCCAAGGCTGGAGGCTCTATTCACTGCACCACCTAGCTGCCCTCCAATTCTACTTTTTAAGGAATTCTTTTCTTCAGTGAATTTTTGTACCTGTTTTCCCATTTGGCCTATTCTGCTTTTTAAGGTGTTATTTTCTCTAGTATTTTTTGTGCCTCCTTTACCAAGCTGTTTGACTCATGATTATCTTGCATCACCCTCATTTATCTTCCCAATTTTTCCTCTATGTCCCTTATTTGATTTTTTTAGAATCCTTTTTGAATTCTTCCAAGAATTCTTTTTGGGCCTGAGACCAATTCACATTTTCTTTGGGGCTTTGGATATAGCAATTTGACTTTGTTGTGTTCTTCTGAGTTTGTTTTTATCTTCCCTGTTACCAAAGGAATTTTCTATGTTCAGGTTCTTTTTTTTTTTGGTGTTCGTTCATTATTTCAGCCTATTTCTTGACTTTTAACTTCATGTTAAAGTTGGGCTCTGCTCCCAAGGCAGAGGGGGCACTGTCCCAAGTATCAGGTTTTTTGTGCAACTGTTTATAGAACTAGTTTTGGGGGTGTGATTTTAAAGTGGTTAGTAAAGGAATTTGAGAGGGCTCAGGCAAGGCCCTGCCTTTTCTCTGCCATTTTGGCTCCACCCCACCTACCTTTCTATTCTAATTTTCTATCACAGCCCCTTACATGTTCTGTTTCAAATTGGCCTGTCAACCATCCCCCTATACATGATATTCTATTTCCTGCTTCCCTGCTTTTGCATAGGCAATCTTCCAGGTATGGAATACACAATTTCCTCACCTTGAACCATAGAATCTGTAGCTTTCTTCAAGAATAATTCAGATGTCACATCTTACAGAAACTTTTTTGGATCCTGAGTTGTTAGTTTTTTCTATTTCTTGAAAGTACTTCATATAATTCTTTGTATTTATTTATCTATGTATATGCTGTGCTTCCCTATTTAGAATGGTTACTTCAAGGAATCATTTAATTTTTCATCTTTGTATCCCCAGCACTTAGCAGTGTCTTGTACATATAGGCAACTAATAAATGTTTGGAAATAAATAGCAATCAAAATATCTAAAAGCAAATATCTGCATAACAAAGAACGAATGAATCAAAATTGACTTAAAATGAAGGGCATCAGTATATGGATGACATTACCCAGATCATCACAGGGAAAGAATTCAATAAATAGGTCAAAGAACTTATATGAATTAAGTTTACTTTATTAAATTTACAAAGCAGTACAAGTTACTTCTAGTATTTTATTCACAATTGGCTGATTGGTCAGAAATAAACAATAATAACTGCATATAGACTTTTTTTTCCAAATAGAGAGAGAGCAAATTCAAAAAAATTGTGTTATGGTAAAAAATCCATAAAAGTCAGAGTTGTAATAAAAGTTCATTTTTATCAAAGTTCCATCCCTAGCTCTCCTAGTTTTAATCCTTCCCACCTACAAGGCTTGGTCAACACTGTGTTCTTTGGAGTACCAGAAAATTTGGCTTTCTGAAGATATTTTATAATTATAGTGATAGATAAAAATATGTTATAAACTAACCCAGAATATTTAGGATGTGCAAGAGCAAAATGAAGGTGAAAACTGCACTAGACTAGAGGCTTATGCTCAACCTTTACCTGAAAACATCAACCAATAGCTCCAAAATTATAATTTATATTGCTGAAAAACACAAGTCCTATGTTATTAAACTTTACCAGATAGTCCCAACCAGAACATTTTAATTGGCAGCATAATGAGGTTAAAACAGACAAACAGATTTATATATTCAGAGAGGCACTTTTGAAAATTTAAGTGTAAAAATGTGAATACATTTCACAAAACAAGATTTGCTTTACTTTACATACTGGTGAATTTATTGCCCCAACCACAGGAATAGAGTTCTTATTAATACATTCAGGAATTGCAGCATCCAGAAAAATCTCAAATTTTCTGACTAAACCAAATACCAAGCACATACTAGTATGACAAATGAACTTATTTATACTCAAAACTTGGTTTGTATATAGTGAATCTCAAATTCAACAAACTGTTTTCCTGAACAACTTCTGCCCAATCCCTTCCCAAAATTTTCCATACAAATTAAATATACATGCTCACTCTCTGATATTTTGAAAAAATGTGTTTTGATATGCTTCTATGCAAAAAAAATTTTTAAACAAAGTATTAGAAAAACTTGGTTGGGAAAAGGAATAGACAACTCCTCAGGAACTGTTGCGGTCTGTATTTGAGGTCTGTAAAGCAATGTCAGCTTCTCTAGGAAGAATAGTGTCAACATAGCAGCACTGTATTCACTGGGCCTACCCAGGATGTATGGATCATGTGGCAGGAAGCCATACCTTCTGGCTGCTCACCACATCACTAAGCTTCCCTTTAATCTTCAGAAAGTGCCTCTTGAACTCCAGCCCATCACCCTATATAAAGGATATTAAAAAAAAAAATGAATGTCAAAATAATAGCAGTAAGTTAAATCAGACTCTAACCTCCTTTGGAAGTAACAAGAAGCAAACATACTCAAGACAGGATATATCTGTTACACTTTTTCAGCTTCCATTAGGAAGACAAAAAGTACTGATAGATGATGCAGGAGGCAGCTATATTGTTAAACCTGTTATGGTCTCCAACTTCGTTACTTAGAAATATGTGAGTATATTGTCAGTTAATAAACACTGGCCAGATGTAGCACCAGTAGGGTATAAGTCTATTTTTCTTAGATTTACTCCAAAGAGATTTAGTTATTAGATATATCAGAAAGGTACAATGTTTGGTTTTATGGGTGATTTTGTCCCCCAACATAGATTTAAAGTATAGAATTATAGTGAGACTCTAAACTCCATAGTGCGACCAATCTGTTTCTTCCACCTTCTTTGAAACTGAATATACACATCTAGTAGATCAAAAACTGCAGCTGTTGTTCTACGTACCTTAGATAGCCGGAAGTCCACTAAGATCTTCTCATCCATTTCTACCAAGTTCACTTTGAAAATCAGTTTATTGTTTCTTCTATCTGTGGTTGATACTGTGACCTAAAATAATAAAGATGTCAACTCAGCTGTAAGTAGAATAATTGAAACCAAAAAAAATGTGTTTTCAGGTACATTTTGATCAAAGTCTTTAGGGTAAGGCCAAATTAATAAAGGAAGAAGTAATATCAAGAATAGTCTAACTGAGAAAAGAAAACTCTTAATTTAACCACTTAATATTTCCTTCAGGATAAAATGCAAGAGGAATCAAGATCATACCTGATTCATACAACTCTTCTTCCAATGATAGCCTAATTTCTCACAAGTTTCCTTCAGACAATGATAGGACTTGTCAGCATCCAATTTGGTAAAGAACCGTGTCATCCTCTTAACTAAACGCTGCCAAGGATTCTACATATGAGACAAAAAACATCTGAGCAAATCATGCTGAAACAAAATTCCTATCTCACAATTATTAAATCTCTAAGCTTACAATCACTACTTTTCTTTAATGATGGTTATACAATCTCTCTAAACTCCCCTAAACCTGCTGCAAAATCCAGAGATGTCAAAGCTGATACTTAAAATAGCTCAACACAAACTATGAGTTAGAAAACACAATTACTTTTCAAGGCAATGAAAAGTAGAGAGCTGTGACAAAATAATTGAAAAAATACATCTCTTTACCTGTGAAGAACCTGGGGTGCCAAGTAACTGACTGTTCAAAAGCATGTGGTCAGGACATGCAGGTTGGGAGAAACTGATCCCTTGTACCAGTTTGTCGATATAAGAAGGACTAGTGTCCCACAAAGAAAGACCAGTTCGAGGCTCTGGTTGAGAGCTGGAGTACTTCACTTTTTCTTCACTGAGGTGTTAAGGGAGAAAAAATTATATTCATAAGCAAAAGGCATTAATTCTTTCTTACACAACACCACTACTCTCCTGACTATTCATTAATGATATAACCATATGGTACAAAAACAGAAAAACTCTTTTCTGGACCAGAGACATTTTCACATGGAATATCACATTCAACAAAGCCTGTAATTCTTACCTGTGAGCACTATTAACTGGTGAGAAGTCTAAATTTGATTGTATGTGCTTAGAAAATCCACCTGGGGAGTCTGATACTCCTCCTGAAGAAGCTCGAGGCCTCTTTGCACCTATGAAAGAATAGTCAAGAAAAATAAAAAATTTCACAGGACTCCAAGGAATCACCAGTGCAGAAAAAATTTCAAATAACTTTTTATCTCTTGATTTTTTTTTCATCTATTGCTTAAGTGAGTTTAAGATAGCAATAATAAAAATCTGAAGACCTGAAGCAACAAATTGATGCTTAAACTACTTTATTTAAAACTGCACACACAGGAAATAAAAATTTGGTAGTGGTTCTTTCTATATAATTTTACTAATATGCTGAAGTCTTCAACTTACTTAAACTTTTTAGACCAGGCATCTCTGCTTCAAATATACACACACACACACACACACACATACACACACACACACACGTATATGTATTATATTGACATATGTCTATAAAATACTGTATAATGTTATATTAATATATAATACATATTAACATTATGTAATATATTGTGTTTATATAAGTCATATATCATGTGATAATAATATACATGTAACATATACACACAAGAGTCAATGGGTTACATATAAATACTAAGGATTTTAACTTCAAAATACAGACATCTCTGGTGACAGCAAAATAATATTTTGTGAAGCTAGCAACATATCTCAGGACTCCGAACTTAACAATGAAAAATTAGTTTATGCTACAAATATTTTGCAATGAAAGTAAAAATCTGCCTCATCCAACTTTCTTTGGCAGATATGACAACAGCCCTGGGAATGCTCAAGCAAGAATAACTGTTTCATTTCTAATACAATATTGAACAATAGTGGTGATAACAGACATCCTTACTTCTCCCCTGGTCTTATTCGAAAGGCTTATCTTTATTACAAATAAGGGTTGCTCTTGTTTTAGATAGATATTGCTTATAATTTTAAGGAAAGCTCTGTTTACTTCCATGTGTTCTAGTGTTTTTAACAGGAATGAGTATAGTATCTTGTCAAAAGCTTTTTCTGCAGCTAGTGATATAATCATAATTTTTGTTGTCATTAATATGGTTAATAACAATTTCCCCAGTATTGAATTAGCCTTGCATTCCTAGTCTTTATAATATGCTACTGTATTCTCCTTGCTAATATTTTATTTAAATTTTTTTGCATCAATATTTATTGGGGGAAAAAAGAATAACTGCTTCATAGAGAAAATGGAAAATCCAATTACCTACACGAAGGAATTTATTATTCATAAAAATAAGGCGAGTAATAGCCAGAGGTAGATATTGTAAATGCCGGTTAAGTCAATAAGCATTCTATTTCTACCCATCTAATTATCCAAAACATAGTAGATGTTAATTTAAGAAATGTATCAGTATTTACATTCTCTCCTAAAATTAAATACATTTCAAAACAACCAATTTACCACATAATAAAAATAAAAAAGGTTATATTGTTTTATGACTCTTTCAAGGACTTTACCTTTCTTAAGTACCTTAGTGTACCATCTGTCTTTTTTAATATCTGCTATTGTAATTCTTGATCCTGGATTCTCGATTAGAATTTTATGCAGCAAGGCTGAAAAAAAAAAAAAGAAGTCAAGACATAAATCATGCAGATCAAAGAAATCCATTTATTTGTAGCAATAACCACCTTCCCTATTTAGCTTCCTTCTTTTTGGAAGATCAGTTCTGGAAAAGGGACAGAGCTACTATATTACTGCAACTTTTTTTTGTGCTACCTTGTACCTTTGGGTTACTGACTCCTGGTTCTCAACTTTCAGCAGATAAGAAGAGTAAAAGCCAAACAGAAATTTTTTAAAAATTATCCATGTGACATTAACAACACTATAAAACTCACAAATCTATTTCCTATTCAAAATTTGTCCAGTATTTCTTAATTTTAACTTTATTTGGTTATAAAAGCAAAACAAGTCTTCAAATGATTTTACAGGATAATAATAAGGCCTATATTTTAATTAAAAGTTATCTTGGTAAGAATTCGCAAAGCAAAAGACTTTGTCTAGAATTCAGTCATTTAAACATGATAACTCAGTTACCTAATGGGGCAGAATCAATTTTCTTCCAAGGTGTGAGGTATGTTTTTTTTTCTTTCCAGTCACAATACTCCTGGCAACTGTCACTGGGTTGGTCCCATGGCAATTCTAAAACCAAAAGAAGTTACAGTTTTTAAAGTGGCCATGTTAAGTAAATATTACAGATATTAAGGGAGGAGTCAACAATTCTTAAAGTATCGAAGATTTCCTCACTAGTTTTTTTGACTAGTAAAAGAAAATTTCAAATTAAAGAAATAATAACAAAGTGTCACTTTCAGGGATCTACGTAACAGAAAATCCTGTCCTTTTTAATTATGTTACCATGATTCATCTAGATGTGGTTGCTGTGAATTTCAAAAGAAAAAAGAATTAAGTATAACATTGTTATCAATTCCTTAGCATTACAGTTTCCAAATACAGCTGTATGAGAAAGAGTAGCAGAGTAGGAACCAGGAGAGACCTAGTTTTTAAGTTAGCCACTAACTAAATGTCTGAGGTTGTAGAAGTTACATATATTTCTCCAGGATTCATTTGTAAAACAAAAGGGATAGACAAAAACATCTTGTTTTCTCTTTGGTCCCTTTTGGGGCTACTATTCTTTGTGTAAATAATTATTACTATCAGAATAATCAATAGCTCAATATAAATACACTGGCTTAACATCGTTTCTTCTAATTGACCTGATTTAGTATAAGGGAGCTTAATCACAAAATGAGCAGCACTTACCTCCAGCCAGCATTGCTGTAAGTACTATTCCACATGACCAAACATCAACTGGTTCTGCATGGAATTCTTTTCTCTTAAGCAGTTCTGGGGCAACATAGGGCAGAGTGCCACACATCTTATTCAATAAACGCTCACGATTATTATGCCGAAATACTGTTGCTAACCCAAAGTCTGAGATTTTGAGGTTATCTAAAATAGAAGGCAGGAAGGTCAGTTCTGAGTAAGGTCTTGTCATATGAAAAGACTAACATTTTTTATTATAAACTTGATGACTAACAACTAAATCAAATAGGCATCAAAAAAAGTGCAAAAAAATCTTACCTGAAACCTAACAAAGCAAAATCAAAATTAATAGGCTGACAAAGAAAATACTTTGACCCTATGTCTCCTAATTCTAGGCCTGCCAAAAGTTTCACTAAATTGGCTACTTTGTTTTTTAAAATATAATGGTAGTTAGCACCTTTTGGCTTTGCTGATTATACTTTGTATCATTTCTTATAGATCTTTTCACATTTTCTCATGTCAAAAGAATGTTCCCTTAAAGAGAGAGGTTATTTCATTTCTGTCTTTGTATTCACCAGCATCTAGCACACAGTCTGGTAAAAAGTAGATACTTAACAAATGCTTGTTGATGAATTCATTGCATATTTTTTTATAATGCTACATAATATTCCATTACACTAATATATCAAAATTTACTTGGCCATTTCCCAGTTTTTGTATCTAATTTTTTGCTATCACAAAGAGTAGCTATTAATATTTCTATACAGCTAGGTCCTTTTTTAATAATACTTCAGTAACCTCAGAAAATTAATTAAAACTCTCCCTTATTTTCTCTATGTTGTAAAACATTCTATGTATGAATTATTTTTTCTTTAAGTTTGATAGAATTGAGAGAGCAGAGCCAAGATGGTGGAGAAAAGGCAAGAAGCTCCCTGAGCTGTCCTTAGTTTCCCTCAAAACAACTTGAAATCAAGCCTCAAAATGATTCTGGAGCAGCAGAACCCACAAGGGAAAGGGTGAAACAATTTTGTAGTCCAAGACAACTTAGAAGCATTGCAAGAAATGACCATCTCACTTGGGTGAAAGGGGAATGCAGCAAAGTGCAGACAGTATCCTGACAAGCTAGCAGGAGGCTCCTAGTCCCAGGATATGTCAGCAACTGAGGCCCTTCAATCCTGGCTCAGCAAGCCAGCTTTGAGGGCTCTGGTCCCAGTACAGCAGGTGAACTGCCAGCTCCCAAACCCCCAGAAAAACAGGCATAACTAGGCCAGGCAAGCCCAGCTCAGTGGGCAAACCTGCCAGCCCTGCCTGTACAACAGGTGAGCCAGCAGCACTGGAGGCCCCATTGCAGAAAGCCAGTGACCAGGCCCCTGGCCCCAGCTCAAGAAGCTTGGGACAGTGCCTCCCGTACCCCAGGAGCAGAGCTTCACTTTAAAAGTCAGAAAATAGATTGGGAAGTGAGCAAAAAACAAAAAATAAGTCCTGACCATAGAAAGTTACTATAGCAACAGGGATGATCACAACACAAACTTGGAAGAGGACTACAATGTTAAAAGGCCTATATGCAAATCCTCAAAGAGAAATCTGAATTGGTCTCATGTGCAAAAAGTCCTCCTAGAAGAGCTCAAAAAGGATTTTAAAAATCCAATGAGAGAAGTAGAAGAAAATTAAGAAAAGAAATGAGAAAGAGACAAGAGAATCATGAAAAAAGAGGTTGGAAGAAGAAAACAACTCTTTAAAAAGTAGAATTGGCCAAACGGAAAAGGGGGTACAAAAGCTCACTGAAGAAAATAATGCTGTAAAAATCAAAATAGGGCAAGTGGAAGCTAATGACTTTATAAGATATCAAGAATCAATCAAACAAAATTAAAAAAAATGAAAAAAAAATAGAAGAAAACGTGAAATACCTCATTGGAAAAACAACTGACCTGGAAAATAGATCCAAGAGAGAAATTTAAGATTGGACTACCTGAAAGCCATGACCAAAAAAAAAAAGAGCCTAGAAAGCATCTTTCAAGAAATTATCAAGAAAAACTGCCCTGATAGACTAGAACCAGAGGGTAAAATAGTAATTGAAAGAATCCATTGATCACCTCCTGAAAGAGATCGCAAAATGAAAACTCCCAGGAATATTACAGCCAAATTCTAGAACTCCCAAGTCAAGGAGAAAATATTTTAAGCAGCCAGAAAGAAACAATTTAATGTCATGGATCTACAGTGAGGATTACATAAAATTTAGCAGTTTCTACATTAAAGGATCAGAGTGCTTAGAATATGATATCCCAGAAGGCAAAGGAACTTGGATTACAGCCAGAATCAACTACCCTGCAAAACTGAGCATAAACTTTCAGGGGAAAAAATGGACATTCAATGAAATAGGGGACTTTCTGACTTCCCTGATGAAAGGACCAGAACTGAAGAGAAAATTCCATTTTCAAATACAAGATTCAAGAGAAGAATAAAAAGGTAAACAGAAAAGAAAAAAACATGTTTTTCAATAAGTTAAACTGCCTACACCCCCACATGGGAAGATGATACTTGTAATTAAGAGCTGTATCTCTATTAGGGCAGTTAGAAGGAGTATACATAGACAAAGAGTGAAGGTATAAGTTGACTTTGATGGGATAATATAAAAAAATTAAAGGGTGAAAAAGAGGATTACACTGGGAAAAGAGGGAAAGGAGAAGTAGAATGGGATAAATTTCATCACGTGAAGTCTCAAAAGACCTATTACAGTAGAGGTAAAGAAGCTGGGGTGGGGCAGGGAAGGGAAAGGACAGGGACTGAGCATTATTTGAACCTTACTCTCTTCAGATTTGGCTCAAAGAGGCAATAACATATACACTCAGTTGTGTATAGAAATCCATCTTACCCTATAGGGAAGTAGGAGGAGAGAAAAATAAGAAAAGGGGGTAAAGGGGTTGAATAGATGGGAGGGCAGATTGAGGGAGATGGTGATCAGAAGCAAAACACTGGTGAGGAGGAACAGGGTGAAAGGATAGAGAAAGTATAAACAGGGGGGGAAAAAGGATAGAGGGAAGTATACAATCATAACTGTGAATGTGCATGCGATGAACTCTCCCCTAAAACGGAAGCAGGTAGCAGAGTGGATTAAAAACCAGAATACTACAATATGTTGTTTACAAGAAACACATCTGACACAGAGAGGCACACATAGAGTAGACAGATAAAGCTGGAGAAAAATATATTATACTTCAGCTGAAGTAAAAGAAAGGAGGTGCAGCAATCATGATCTCAGACAAAGCAAAAATAGATCTAATTAAAAGAGACAAGGAAGAAAACTACATCTTGCTAAAAGGTATCATAGACAATGAAGTGATATCAATACTAAAAATATATGCACCAAATGGTATTGCATCCAGATTTCTAAAGGAGAAGTTAAATGAGTTACAGGAGAATCTAGAGAGTAAAACTATGTTAGTGGGGGACCTCAACTTTCACCTCTCAGAACTAGATAAATCTAACCACAAAATGAATAAGAAAGAAGTTAGGGAGGTGAATAGAACTTTAGAAAAGTTAGATATGATACATCTCTGGAGAGATGAATAGGGATAGAAAGGAACATACTTTTTTCTTTTTTTCCTTTTTCTTTTTGCTAGGCAATGGGGTTATGTGACTTGCCCAGGGTCACACAGCTAGTAAATGTTACGTGTCTGAGGCCAGATTTGAACTCAGGTCTTCCTGAATCCAGGGCTGGTGTTCTATCCACTGTGCCACCTAGCTGCCCCTGGAATATACTTTTTTCTCATGGCACCTACACAGAAAGTGACCAGGTATCAGGGCATAAAAACCTCACAATCAAATTCAGAAAAGCAGAAATATTAAATGCATCCTTTTCATATCAGGATATGATAAAAATTACATTTAATAAAGGGCCATGGAAAGACAGATTAAAAATTAATTAGAAACTAAATAACCTAAACCTAAAGAATGAGTGGGTCAAAGAAAAAAATCATAGAAACAATCAATAATTTCATTAAAGAGAATGACAATAGTGATATAACATACCAAAATTTATGGGATGTAGCCAAAGTAGTACTTAGGGGAAAATTTATATCCCTAAACACTTACATCAATAAAATAGAGCAAGAGCAAATAAGTGAATTGAGCATAAAAATGCTAGAAAAAGAACAAATTAAAAATCCCCAATTAGGAGCAGCTAGGTGGCACAGAGGATAGAGCTCCGGCCTTGGAGTCAGGAAAATCTGAGTTCAAATCCGGCCTCAGACGCTTTGACACTTACTAGCTGTGTGACCCTGGGCAAGTCACTTAACCCAAATTGCCTCACCAAAAAGTAATTAAAAAAAGAGAAGAAAAAGAAATTGAAGGAACTAGAATAGACAAAGAGGAAACAAAGCTATCACTCTTTGCATATGATATGATGGTATACTAGAGGAATCCTAGACAATCAACTGAAAAACTACTTGAAATAATTAATAACTTTAGCAAAGTTGCAGGATATGATACAATAAACCCACACAAATCATCAGCATTTCTGTTTATTACCAACAAAGCCCAGCAGCAAGATACAGAAAAAGAAATCCCATTTAAAATAACTGTAGACAATATAAAAAACTTGGGAATCTACCTGCCAAGACAAATCTAGGAACTATATGAACACAATTAAAAAATACTTTTCACACAAATTAAGTCAGATCTAAACAACTGAAAAACTATCAATTGCTCATGAGTAGGCCAAGCCAATATAATAAAAATGACAATTCTATCTAAATTAATTTACTTATTCAGTGCCATACCAATCAAACTACTAAAAAATTATTTTATAGAGATAGAAAAGATAAGAAAATCCATCTTGAAGAACAAAGAGTCAAGAATATCAAAATTGTGAAAGGTGGCCTAGCAGTACTAGAACTCAAACTATATTATAAAGCAGTAATTATCAAAACTAGCTGGTACTGTCTAAGAAATAGAGTGGTAGATTAGTGAAAAAGATTAGGTACACAATCCATGGCAGTAAATGACCATAGTAATCTACTGTTTGATAAACCCAAAGAACCCAGCTTCTAGAATAAGAACTCACTATCTCAGAAAAACTGCTGGGAAAACAGGAAAACAGTATAGCAGAAACTTGTTGCTGTTTGTCCTTTGTTCTCAAAGAGGACCAATGACAACAGGAAGGTGATGTCTTGACTTAAGAGTGAACTGGACTTAAGTGAGACAGCTATGCAAAGTCATCAGCCTCACTCTGTCCTCCAGGATCATCTAAGCCCAGTGGCAAGACATAGTTCAGGATGACTGGAGATGACCTTAGACGCAGTGGGAGACCTTGACCTTTTAAAGCTAAGGTCTTTCCCAAGTCTCAGTTTGTCTGAGGCAACACCCATGCAGTGATTTAAGGCTAGGTAAGAAAGATGGCCAAGTTTCCCTGCTCAAAAAAAAAAAAAAAAAAAAAATCAAACTGGGAGGGGAAGATCCTGCGGGTTTCTGGCCAGAACAGAAACAATTGCTTTTCACACTCATTCTGAGCCATCAAAACCCAAGTAATGACCAAGTGAGGTTTGGGCTGGGGCCTATTATTGACCCAGCAGTGAGAACCAAAGTGATTTTAAGGCATGGTTAGGTAACTCCACTTGAATCTCAATGTGCTTTATCAAAGCTTGGTTTCCCAGTGCTCTATTTCAAAAAACTATAAATGAAACTACATGTGACAAAAAAGTTAACTGTTCCAGTTAAAAAAAATTATAAAATAAATAAGTAGGGAAGAGAAAAAAAAATCTAGCCCATAAACCCCAAGATATCTTGCGAGGTTTCAGCAATCAAAATTTATATTCCTTTGGGCAGAGCACCCACACATAATAGAGCAACATTATACACCGTATACCAAGGTAAGGTCAAAAAGGGTACATGATTTACACGATACCACAATCAAATTAGGAGAGAAAGGAAGATCTATGGGGAAGGGAAGAATTTATGACCAAACAAGAGATAGAGAGTATTACAAGATATAAAATGGAAAATTTTTATTACATTAAGTTAAAAAGTTTTTGCATAAAGAGAAGCAATACAGCTAAGATTAGAAGGGAAACTGGGAAACAATTTTCACAGCAAGTTTCTCTGATAAAGGCCTCACTTCTCAAATATATAGAGAACTGAGTCAAATTTAATACAATACAAGTCATTCCCCAATTGATAAATGGTCAAATGATATGAACAGGCAGTTTTCAGACAAAGAAATCAAAGTTACCTATAGTCATATGAAAAAATGTTCTAAATCACTACTGATTAGAGAAATGCAAATTAAAATGACTCCAAGGTACCACCTTACTATCAAATTGGCTATTATGACAGAAAATCAAAATGACAAATGTTAGAGATGTGGGAAAATTAGAACACTATTGCATTGTTGGTAGAGTTGTGAATTGATCCAACCATTCTGAAGAACAATTTGGAACTATGCCCAAAGGGCTATAAAACTGTGCGTATCTTGTGATCCAGCAATAGCACTCCTAAGTCTGTATCCCAAAGACACACAAAAAAGGAAAAAGGACCTATTTGTACGAAAATATTTATAGCACCTCTTTTTGTGGTGGCAAAGAATTGGAAATTGAAGGGATGCCCATCAGAAAATCTAGTAAGACTTACATGAATTCATACAAAATGAAATCAGGAGAACATTGTACATAATAACAAGAACACTGTGCGATGATCAACTCAGGATGATCAGCTCTTCTCAGGAATTCAATGATCCAAGACAATTCTAAAAGACTCATGATGGAAAATGCTACCTACATCCAGAGAAAGAACTAATGGAGTCTGAATGCAGACTGAAGCACACTATTTTCACTTTATTTTTTTCATATTTTTTGCCTTTTATTGTGTTTCTTCTTTCATAACATGACTAATATGATTGCATATATGTAACCTGTTTCAAATTGCTCACTGTCGTAGGAAAGAAGGGAAAAAATTTGGAACTCAACATTTTATAAAAAATGAATGTTAACAATTGTCTTTAAGGGGCAGCTAGGTGGCACAGTGGATAGAGCTCTGGCCTTACAGCAGGAGGACCTGAGTTCCAATCCAGCCTCAGACATATAACACTAACTAGCTGTGTGACTCTGGGCAAGTCACTTAACCCCAATTACCTCACCAAAAAAAAAAATTGTCTTTACATGTAATTGGAAAAAATAAAATACTATTTAAAAGAAAAAAAGTTTGATAGAATACTTATGAATCTGTCTCAGCTCAGCATCCTTTTTGACAAGATAAGTTTTTAAAAAATTACATTATTGCAGATGATAGTGTCTTCACCATTATTAAATACGGGATTTTCCTAATTCACCTTCAGGGTGGACTAAGAGTTCTTAACTGTAAAACAAGTATAGAGTTAAGAGAGAGGTTGGAATAAGGTTACTAAAGACATAGATTGCCATTTGTTAAATGAAAATAACAAATAATTATTCCAAAGATTCTCTTATTTAGTCATATTGTTTTCATGGTTGATAAGGAATATCAAAATGAAGAGACAAATTTTGTTGTAATGAGCTTACCTCTTTCATCAAGTAAAAGATTTTCTGGTTTAATATCCCTGTGGGTTATTCCAATACCATGAAGATACACCTGGGAGGAAAAAATAAGACTTATTTATTCGCTATTCTTTATTTGTACTATAAAGAATGAATTCAAATAAAAGAAATAAAGTTAAGTCTACCTACCACCCCTGCCATAAGCTGATGGAAGAACTTCTGAGCATCTTGTTCAGGCATACCTACATCAGGCTCTGAAAGAGTTAAATTTGAAGGTTTATTTATTAATCATCAATTGCAAGAACAACTCTCACGTTTAAGATTGAATGTTACCTACTTTCTAACTCATGGCAAAAAAGTGGGGAAATGCTAGGAAGGAACATGGTATATACATTTTCAGACATGGTCTTTGTGCCATGTTTTTATGTCTTCACAAGAAAAAGTTCAATCTGAGGGGTAGGAGAATGGAAACAACTGATATTAAGACAAAGGTTGCTACAAAGGTAGCAACAAAACACGCACATTCATGTGTACACACACACACACACACACACACACACACACACACACACACACATACACACACACATTCTTTAAAGATGAAGGGCTAACCAGTATCTTAATGGCTGGTATCCTACTAGAGGAACAAAAGACTCATGCTCCAGGACTGACTGACTGACTGACTTACTGACATTAACATGTTATGAGAAGCTGAGTAAGTTTTCTTTTCTAGTTTCACCATCTGTAAAATGAGGAGAAGGGGTTCAAAGACATCACAGAGAGGCTATGTAGAATAAGTAATTAAAAAAGTAATTGTCCAAGACAGAAATTCAGGCCACCAGACTAACTTTTCTTCTTGGTATTTGAAAAAGCCCTCTTAGTCCTATGTATCATAATAATCTGTGAGCCCTTTGTTCCTTGTTAACTTTAAATCCTTCCTCCTCTCGTAACTCTTCTACTCAAACATCTCACAATATTCATTTAACTCATAGATACCTTTCTTAGTCCTCCATTCCTGAGATATTCACATCAAGAAAGGGTTAAGGCAAATTTCAATTAAAATTTAACAAAGGACTTTAAATTTCACAGACATCCTCAAACTACATAGCCATGGATGTCTGAAAGAATAATGCAACTCTTGGGGGCAGCTAGGTGGCGCAGTGGATAGAGTACCGGCCCTGAAGTTAGGAGGACCTGAGTTCAAATCTGGCCTCAAACCAAACACTTCACACTTACTAGTTGTGTGACCCTGGGCAAGTCACTTAACCCCAATTGCCTCACTAAAAAAAAAAAAAAGCAACCTATAGGGAATCAGATTCTGAGAGGAAAAAAAATTGACCTCTGCCAACTTTCTGCATTTTGTCCATTTGTAAATTATTAAATCCTGATTTGATCTGGAAATTAGTAAAGTAGAAGTTCCTAATTTTTAATGCAGTAGGTTTAGATTTTAAATTTATATCCACAGTACAGATTTTGTTAAGCAATACTTGATCACAGAATTAGAGAATTTTAAGAGTTAAAAAGGGATTGTTCTGTTCTAACCTCTGACATAAAGCAGGAATCTCCTCTGTCATTGTTTTCAAGGACAGTCATCCAGACTGAATATTTCTAGAAACAGAAAGATCACTTCTCCTAAAGGTAGATTATTTCATTTTTTAGGTAGCTCTAATTAACTTAATTCCACTTTCCCTCAGCAGCTGTTTGGTTTAACTTAAGAGAACACTGGTGCCCCACCCAGGATGAGCTGATCACCTGAAATCTCATCATCATGCTGACTGACTCAGTTTTTGACACTAGATACCTTCTCAACTCCATCAGATGTTTCTCCTCTCTGACTGGAGAGCTGGAGCGTGGAACAGTAAACTCCTCCCAAAGCTTTCCTTTATGGAGAGCTGGTACCTGAATTTTCCAGGCAACACTACACTTTCTATCAGAGCTCTGCTTGCTTTTAACTCCACAAAGCATCATTCCCCTTGCCTGGTATCCTATGGTTCTCACCCCTTTTCTACTTTTTGTGTGTTGTCTTCCCCTATTAGATTGTAAGCTCCTTGAAGGCAGGAACTGTCTTCTTTTTTCTTATTTGTAACCCCAGTGCTTAGCACAGTGCCTGGTGCTTAATAAATCTTTATTGAACTGAACAGTTCTTTGTCATACTGAACAAAAATATTTCTCCTTTACTGAGTTTCAACTGCTGTTAGTCCTATCCTTTAGAGCTAAGAAGGATATTTAAGCCTAAAACACAAAGCTGATTAAAGTCCCCCCAAAAAATCTCTTTGAGAATTATAAACATTTTACATAAAAAGAAAAAGAGAGAGAACTACAAAATCAACTTAGGAATAATTATATATAGTTAATGTATCTTTACAATACAAACAACCATCCATTTAGGCAATAAGGATATCTGACTGGTTACTAAAGTGATATTTATAGTGATTTCCCATAACAACTACTTGTCATAAACTTTACAAACAATAGTGACATTATCCTCAATTAAGATGACATGCAATTTGTAATAGTATATTTTGGGGTACAACATTCTAGTAAACATAAATTTTTAAGATAACATAAAGCAAATATTAATGCTTATTTCCATATTTCATGACTGGAGGCCATATTCAATAGATAAAGAATGATCAAAAAATAAATCAAATATAAGCTCAAAGAGCAAGAAAATAAACACCTCTTATTAATTTAGTAGCTCCACTAATCTTTAGAATAAAAATTTGTCACCATTTTCCATACCTATTCGGTCAAAGAGCTCTCCCCCACTGCAGTACTCCAGAAACAGATACTGAATATTTCCTTCTCGCCGATGACCATAGAATTTCACTATGTTCTCGTGGTTTAACATTTTATTGATGCATATCTCTTTCTTAATGTTTTCTGGACAATCTATGGCGCGCTTCATGTCCACAATCTTCACTGCAACTGCTTCTTCTGTTCGTCTATTCACAGCAAGCTGAACTCTATAAATTAAGTGGAAAATCATTAACTTATTTTTTCATACATTTTAAACATTTAAATAATTTATTGATTTCACTGCTTTGGCACAGTGCCTGGCACATGGTAGGCATTTGACAAGGGCTAGCTGACTGAGTAATTTGGGATACTAATTCTTTAATTATCAGTAAATAAATGTACTCTGATAGGCATTTCTTCTGCAATTTCAAAATTAAACAGAAATCTAGGACAGTGACTAGCATATTGTAGGCACTTGGTAAATGGTTGCTGACTGTTTGAAAAAAATTAGTTCAAAAATTGCTTTACCCAGTCTAATTTCTTCCCCCCCCAAAAAAGTAAAAAGGGTTTTCTTATCAGCAGCAGATCTTTCTCACTTCTGATTACGTGGCACAGGATACCTAAATGGTCCACAAAGATAGCTGTGTTGGGCACACAATAGGTACCAAAAGCTTGTTGAATCTGAGTAGCAAGATTCCTATACCTTATTACCAATAGTCATACACTCTACAAGTTTAAAAGAAAAGAAACTAAACAAAAGAAAAATCATGATGGCTGAATTCCTTTCCAATCTTTTATAAGTAGAATGCTAAAAGAAGAAGGGGTAAGAAAAAGACTATGATACATAAAAGAAGCCACCATTTTGGCTTGCTTTTAGTTGAGAAAATAATTCACTTTTTTTTTTTTTGCCCATAATCCCCAAATCCTTGACTTTGACAAAGTACCTGGCACAAGGTAGATACTTGATAGTGGGTATTGATTGACTGATTGACCTGGAACTCCTAATTGCAGATGGTTAGTCAGTAATGACTGCCACAATAATGGCTTTGCCTCCCCTAAGCTAACAAAATAGTACCAACCTAATGGTGGTGCTGTAATAAGAAAAATGTTTCATTACTATTATACTTCACAATCTATACTGGATGGTATAACATATTTAAAATAAGAGATACAATGTCCCTTCCAACCTTAGGATTCTACAACAGAACCCAGAGACAAAATGGAATAGTGCAAGACAACGGCTTTATTGCTAAATAAAATACCACAATACTATACGTAGGGAAACCTCTACATAGGAAATATTTTTGTGATAATTGGAGAGGGGAGGAAGTAATAATTAAATTTATTCCAAATTAGTATTATATACCTTGACTTCCCCCAAACCTTAAAATCTGTCATCTAAATCAGTGGTGTCAAACAGAAATGGATCCTTGCAGACAACACATTTACTTAGAAACCATAAATGATCATCTATGTTGTATTGTATTTTTATTTATTTTGTTAAACATTTCCCAATTATATTTTAACCTGGTATAGGACACATTCAGGAGTTGCCTAGATGAGTTTGACACCCGCAATCTAAACTACTAATCTAAAATTCACTGATAGGTAGGCAAGCACCTATAAAAGTCAAACAGGTGACGTAAAGACACTAGTCTTGGGGGCACCTAGGTAGTAAAGTGGATAGAGCTTCAGCCTTGGAGTTGGGAGGGACCTGAGTTCAAGTCTGGCCTCAGACACTTGACACTTACTAGCTGAGTGACCCTAGGCAAGTCACTTAACCTCCATTGCCTCACCCTGCCCCCCACAAGAGCCAGAAGACTGTGAGGTTCTGTTATTTCTACAAAAATCACTTAACCTGTTTAGTCTCAATTTCCACTACCTACCACATCAAGTAGTTGTGAGGATCAAATACGATTAATTACATTGAGCACTTTGTAAACAGGCATGAAATTTAGGTGGGCTCTCTCAATGGAAATCCTATACAAGTCTAAGTCTGTATTATCTACAGTAACCATTGAGTACACAGAAAATTTATATCTTGTGCCTGTTCAAAGACAGAAGAACAAGAACAGCTCATACTTACTCTCCATAAGCACCTTCTCCCAAAGTTTGCACCAAATCCCAGTCTTCCACAAAAGGCACAGCCATGGCTCTACCAGTAAGACCCCTCCTGAAGCAGAGATATTGGACACAGACATGAAATAATTACAAACCTTCATTATGTTAAGTGTCACTAATCCACCTACTAGCTTCTCTACCTCCTGTCACATACCACCTTTAACCTCTCTCCCTCCCTCCCTTAATGTAAACTCTGACCCCAGCAGTAATTTACCCCATTAAATATATCCATCCTATGACTCGTATTTATTCATCAAGGAATGCTGATACAGTGCCAGCCTCCAGGGACAGAAAGACCTGGGTTCAAGTCCTGCCTCTGACACATTCTGACTGTCTGACTTTGGGCAAGACACTTAAACCTCTCGGACGACTCTGGAAAAAAAAAAGAGTGTAAATTGCAGAAGTGCAATTTCCTGATAGGATGAAATCACAGGTCACAAAAACAAATCCCTGGTTACAAAAGCTAACCCCGCCCCTCCCAAAGCCCTTAAAGGGCAAAACTGGGGCGAGGTGGGGAAGCAGAGGAGTGGGACCGGATTAAGAGTCAAAGGGATTCGGGTTCTAATCCCGAGATCCCGTCTCTTTGGGTTACCAGCTGTGTGACCTCAGGCGAGACCCTCCCCTCTCTGCGCCTCGGTTTCCTCACCCGTAAAAACAGGAAGGGGCTTAGATGAGCCCTAAAGTGCCTTCCAGCTCGGTCACGCCGGGAGAGGCCCGAGGCAGCGCCCCCCCGCCCCCCTCGCCAGGGGCGGGGCGGGGGGGAGGGGAGGACTGGGAAGAAGGGTTGCCCCTCCTCCTCCTCCCTGTGCGGCGCTCCCTCAGCTCGCCCTCGGTCCGCTCCCGCCCGCTCCCCGGCCTGGGGGCCTCCGGTCCGGCCCTGACGAGTGAGCGGAGACCCCGGCCGTGGGCCGGCTCCGGGCGGTCCTCTGCAGGCCCCTCTCACTCCCTGCCAGCCTCTGCCCGCGCCTCGCTGCTCCCCCTCCTCACGAACCCGGCCCGGCCCGGGCCAAGGGACGCTTACCGAGCCGCCGCCGCCTCCGGAGGAATCCGAACGCAGTGCCTTTCCCGCCAAAATTCTCCAGTCGCCTCACGACCGCAAGCGTGCGCTCCCCATGGCCGTAAAGCGAGGAGGCCGTGCGCGCTCCCGCGGCCGGGGAGGGCGCTGTGCGGTGACGGGCGGGGGCGGGAGTAGGGGGCGTTGGGTGGAGCCCTAGGAAATGTAGAGTTGAAAAGAATAGAAAGGAGAGGCTGCGGAAGGGGACTTTCGCCTTGACTAGACGTTCCGGATTATAAGGATTCACAAAGCATGTTGGAAGAGCGTGCGAGCTGCAGGGGAGCGAGGAGGTTTGCTTTCTTGTTCCAGTTGCTGGGCTGATAGAAGCGCGAGCGCTGAAGCCGTGGGCGTGGCGGCCGTGGAGGGGGCTGGCTAAGCAGAGGCTCAGTCAGCGTGGCCTGGGCGTCGTGAAGCCGGCGTGCTGATTGCTGGTGCCTTGAAAGCCTCGAGCCTAGGCTGTGCTTACAAAGGCAACGGAGCAAAGATGTTACCATTTTTCAATAAATGCGGTCAGCGCAGACAGCAGAGCTGTAAAAGTAAGCAGCTTAGTGCCTCCCATTCCTCACCAGAAGTTTTGTCCAAAAGGACCTCATCTCAGTCAGGAGTTAGAATCAGTGACACTGAGTTGGAAGAGACCTTAAAAATCCTCTCATTCAGCCACTCAACCTAAGAAGGATTATCCTCCACAAAATAATTTTAAAATCTTTATGATCTAGGGGCAGCTAGGGGGCGCAGTGGATAGAGCACTGGCCCTGAAGTCAGGAGGACCTGGGTTCAAATCCGTCCTCAGACCAAACACTTGACACTAGCTGTGTGACCCTGGGCAAGTCACTTAACCCCAATTGCCGAAAAAAAAAAAAAAGAAAAAACTTTATGATCCCATTTTACTAGTCTCGTTTCACTTAGAACTCTCACTTTACAACTCTCACTAGTCTCTGTCTTACTTTACAACTCTGTCTCACTTAAATCCAATTCACAAGCAAGATATCACCCTCCTGATGTCATTGGTCTCCTTCAAGAATGGAGAACCAACACCAACAGCCACAGTGGAGCCCAGGGGAGGCAGCCTGAGCCCCAGGGGACATGGGCAGAGGGCAGAGGGAGGCTCCTAGGCCAGCGAGCCCCAGCAACCTGAACACCCCACTATAGGCAGGTGTTGTGTTAGTCCCCTCCAGTGACCTTCCTCCCTCTGGGTGGACCCTGCCTCTTCTCCATAGCTGATTGTATTTGCTGACATCAAACCCAAATGTGACTGCAATTTCCACCCCTTGCCCAATGAGGAAGCAAGGGAGAGAGGAAAGAAAGAAGAAAAAAGGAAGCAGGGAGGGGGGAAAGGAAAGAAGGAAGCAGGGAGAGAAAGGAAGAAGGAAGGACTGGAAGGAAAAGAATGAAGGAAGAAAGCAGAAAGGAAAGAAAAGGGAGAAAAGCAGAAAGGAAAAGAAGGAAAGGTGAGCATTTATTGATCACTTATAATGTGCAAAGCAGTGTATAACACTTGGGATACAAATAGAAAAGGAAGGCAGTCCCTGCTGTGAAGGAGCTTATACTCTAATTGGGAGAGACAACACATAATAGGAGGTTCCAGCTGCAAGTCAGATGGAAAGGTCCACTGGTCCCAGGAGGAACATAGGCAAAGCAGATGGCAAGTCCTCATCTCTTAATTAATTTCCACAAATAAATCATATCATTTTCTTTTGTTGAACCACTTGACAATGTCAAAGACTTTGGTGGCAAGAACTTACTTTTCTGAGTCTTCAGGAGTTATAGCTGCAGCACCCATAGAAACAGTTGCCAGGCTGCATCTCCAAGAGAAATCCAGCTTTCCAAGATCATGGCTATCCCCATTCTTTAACCAACCTTTTTTTCCCAACTTAGATGCCCCTTTCTACTGAAAGGGTCTCCTTTGTCAGGCATGGAATGGTAACCACCTTCTTCCTTAGATATCTTAATAGCATTTTACTTTGTCATTTTCATGTAATACTGTGTAGAGTAGTTGTTCTTGTTTGTTTTGTTGTTTGGTCATGTTTAACTCTTCATGACCCCATTTGGCATTTTCTTGGCAAAGATACTGGAGTGGTTTACCATTTCCTTCTCCAGCTTATTTTACAGATAAGGAAACTGAGGCAAATAGGGCTAAGTGATTTGCCCAGGGTCACACAGCTAGTATTAAGTGTCTAAGGCCATATTTGAACTATCCACTTTGCCCCCTAGCTGCCCCTAGTTATGTATTCTTGTACTAAAACTAGACTGTAAATTCTATGAGGACAAGGACTTTATATATTTCCCAGGGCCTAGCAGAATGCTCTGCATATAGTCATTTATTCTAGTTCAATAAACATGCCTGCCATTAAACAGTAGGTGATATTGTAGTGGTAAAAATGAAGATTTGAAATATGAGGAATAGTTGTATTTCATCCTTATGTGACAGGGGGAACTCTTCACTCTTACTGGTCTCAAATTTCCCCAATCCTAAAATGAAGGGGTTGAACTAGATCCCTTCCAATTTTAAATCCTGTCTCTGTCACCATCAGTAAGCACTATTCCTAGTTCTGCTATCTAACAGCCCTGGACTGCCTTGCCTGCAAGTTGGTGACTAGAAATCAGAATCCAACCTATGAAAAAACACATTGGTTAAACTTCTTTGTTACCAACCCCTGAATAAATATAGTTTCTTGACTAATAGATGTCCAAAGGATAGATTGCTAGAGATGTACAGGACCATAACAATTAATTGGCCCAACTGTCTCATTTTATAGAGAAGGAAACTGAAGCAGAGCAATGAAATGTCTTTTGCAAAGTCACACAAGGAGTAAGTGGCAAGATTGAGTGAAATAAAAAGCATTTATTAAGCATTTACTGTGTGAACTATGCTAAGCACTGAGAGTACAAAAGTAAGATAATACCTGCCCCCTACAGAACTGACATTTTAGTCAGGGTGACTATACACATAAAGGAGTGGTAGCCAGGGAAAGACTTTTCCTCTGGGTAGTTTCAGAATTAATAACTAGTTAATTGCATTGAGTTACTGTTCCCAAGAGCAAAAAGTAGAAAGTGTATGTGTTTGGGAGTTGGGTGAAGAGGTGACATGTCCTCTTTGGCAGCAGGGCAGATGACAAGATGGTCTGCATGAGATGTGGAATATGGTCTGGTCTAGGGGGTAGCTACATATAGTGGGCTAGCTGAATCTGTCCTCATACATCAATCATTTCAACTCAGGTCCAGGATGGGAGTTACAAAGCCCAGTAGATTAAAACCTAAGTCTTTTGAACTCCAAAAGCAAGTACTTTTCCTACTGCATCACACTGTTTTCCCAACACAAGTTCTCTGAGCCCATTTTCTCACCTATATAGTGCAGACAAATAATATTTTCTTTATCCTCCTAAAGCACAGGTCTGATAATGACATCTCCCTATTCAAAAAACTCCATTGGCTCCCTATTAGCTCCAGAATAAAATATAAAGTTTTCTGGCTATTAAAGCCCTTTATAACCTGGCTTCTTCCTCATTTTCCAGTCTTCTTACACTTTACTCCCCTCCACATACTCTGTGATCCAGTGACAAAAAAACAAACAAACAAAAAAAAAAACCCACTTCATCCCCAACTCCATGTATTTTCACTGGCTGTTCCCCATGCCTGGATTTTTCTCCCTTGTCTCTTACTCCTGGCTTCCCTGGCTTCATTTATGTCTCAGCTAAAATCTTATCTTGTGTAAGAAGCCTTTCCCAGCCCTCTTTAATATTAGTGCCTTTCCTCTTTGATTATTTCCAACCTAATCCTGTGTAGATTTTGTTTGTGCATAATTGTTTGAATGTCTCCCCAATTAGATCATGAGCTCCTTAAAGATATTTTCTTTTGCTTTTCTTTGTATCCCCAGCATTTCACATACTACCATGCATACAGTAGATGCTTACTAATGCTTGTTGATTAAATTGCTGTCAGTCAATAAACATTTATTAGGAGAATAAAAGGGAAAAAGCATTTATGTAGCACCTACTATGTGCTGATCACTGTACTAAATGCTTCACAAATATTATCTCATGTGATCCTTACAACCCTGCAAAACTGAGGTAGAGATTAAGTGACTTGCACAGAGTTACATAGCTAATAAGTGTCTGAGGTCAGATATGAACTCCAGGCCCAACAATCTATCCATTGTGTCACCTAGCTGCCTATAAGCACTAGTGTGTGCCAGGTACTATGCTAATCACTGGGAATATGAAGAAAAGCAAAAGATAGTCCCTGTCCTCCCGGAGTTTAAAGGGGGAGAAAACATATAAACAACTAGGTACAAACAAGACATGTACATAATAAATTGGAGATAATCAACAGAGGAAAGGTCCTGGAATTCAGGGGAATCAGGAGAGTCTTCCAGTGAAAGACGGGATTTTGGATGAGATTTGAAGGAAGCTAGAGAAGCTAGGAGGTAAAAAGGAGGAGGGAGAGAATTCCAGGCATGGGAGACAGTTAATGGAAATTCATGATGGCAGGAAATTGAATTGTCTTTTTTGAGGAACAATAAGGAGGCCAGGGTCACTGGATTGCAAAGTACCTGGCAGATGTGAGATATAAGAAGACTGTAAAGTTGAGGTGGGGGAATCAGGTGGCCAAAGAGGTGTTATATTTGATCTTGGAAGTGATATGAAGCCACTTGAGTCACTGGAGGGGAAGGAGGAGGGATGGTATCACATGGTCAACCTGCACTTTAGAAAGATCATTTTGGCAGCTGAATGGTAGATGACCTGGAGTGTGGAGCGATTTGTGGCAAGGAAAACAATATGGGCTATTACAACAGGCAAGACTTGAGCTGATGAGGACTAACACCAAGATGGTGGCAGTGACATAGAGAAGGGGGTGAATATGAGAGATTTTGTGAAAGTAAAGTTGATAGGACTTGGCGACTGATTGGATAAGGGGCATTAGAGTGAGGTCATCAAAGATGACACCAAGATTACAAGCCTTGGTAACTGGAAGAATGATGTTACTCTTGACAAAAATAAGGAAGTAGGAAGAGAGAAGGGTTTGGGGGGCAGGGAAGATGATGAGTTCAGTTTT